ATGGACTGCATGACTCTCCAGGACACGATTAATATAAATTGCATCTTAACATCAGCAAGTGTAATGTGGTTTCTTACCATCGCACAAAAACTCCTATAGTCTTTAATTACAATATGGATGGTACTGTCCTGTGTATTTTGACCAGTCGTTCTCTTTTGTACCTCACATTACTAAAATGGTTTCCAGTGCAATGCAAATTTTAGGATTGGTAATAAGAAATTGCAGGCATTTTTGTAGCTCAGCTACTGTTAAATTGTTATTTAACTGTTACGTTAGGTCCAAGCTTGACTATGGCTCGCTGATATGGTCACCAATTTATAACTGCCACACTCAGTCCATTGAGAGTGTGCAGAGAAGGTTACTAAAGTATCTAATGTTCAGGGAGGACGGTTCCTATCCTGAGAGGGGAGTTGATCACGATCTTCTACTAAGAAGGTTCGCTATACTGCCCCTGAGCTTGCGCAGAGACTTGCAATCTGTTTCATTTCTCTATAAGTTAGTTCATTACGGAGTCGATTGTCCGTTTCTTCTGGAACAATTACGCTTTCATGTGCCGCGGCTGGAAGGGAGACATCAATCAACTTTCTTACCGCAGTTACCCAGGTCCAATATCCATTTTCAAAACTCTATTTACAATATGTATGGTACCTTCAACAAACTATCATCGTACTGCGAATTATATTATGATGGTCTCCAGGCCATACTTCAGCAACTTCGATTGGCGTCGGATTATCCGTACCGATAAGTCTTATCCTTTTCTTTCTGTTTCTCATTCTATCCTTCTTCATTTTTTTTAGTTATAAGATTAGTAGATTTAAGATTAGTTTCTACGTCCCCTAGTATATATATTGGATGATTTATATTTAACATTTCCTGTAATTGGGTCATGTTACCTGTTGGAAATAAAGTGCTATTATTATAAAGAACAAATTAAAGAATTGCTGTGCGGAAATCATTGTATATTTAACCCGATTGAGAAGATTTGGTCTGAGTTGAAAGCGCATATAAGAAGAAATAACATTGACCCAAAATTTAGTTATTTTACCATAAACGTGATTCGACAAGAGGTACCTAAAATATCAGTACAAAGCTGGTCTAACTGGGAGAAAAACGAGTAATAAAAGAAGAAAATATTTATCGAAATTAGTGGAGGAGTTCATCATTGAACTAGGTGATGACAGTAGCGATGGTCGCGATTTTTTAAATGACTGATACTTTACTATTATTATATTTAATATTTTCTATATAATAATATAATGATACTATATAAAAATGTAATGAAATAAAGCGTAATAAATTTTTACTTTGTACTAATTTTTTTATGTTTCAAGAATTTCTCGACGAAAATGATTGAAAACATACTTATATCCCGCTTGTTAGTGTAGATAGATAAATTCCTAGGACGCTCCTGGAATGGTTACGGTTAAGAGTCGGCAGGGTGTTCTATAAGGGGCTGCGGTTTTGAAGTAATAAACATTACGCAAAGTTAATCACGGGGTTGGTTGTAAAAGCACTATATTTCTGGCCGAGGTATACACAATTCGTCTGGGTTTAAAATTTAAAAACCACATTGACTTGCCTGGTTCATCAAAAACGGAAAGCCCTTTACCCTGAATAAACGGAGCAATAAACCAATAAATTGTCGATGTACAAGCGCTTATCAGAACAGCAAGGAATTTTTATTTTAGTAGTGTCAACCTTAGAAATTCTAAACTCATCTGGGCTTTGCCATTACTGGCGTCAACCAAAAAGAAAGTGTCTGCAGGTCTTTGAAAAACTTCAGAGGGCATGGAAGCTGCCATAGGGAGGACAACGGAGTGCGATTTGAAACATATAGACAAGATATTGGCGGAATTAACTACAAAGTTAGACACAATCATATAAACCCAAAAACATCCGCCCATGTAATTGGTGTAATTAAAAGTCCGTCTGAATTAATGAAAAACAAAAAACTAGTGATAATGGTAACACAGTTGCAAACTATTCCGACGACTAATTTTATTTAATATGTATTTATAGGTCACATAATTACGACTATAGAGTACGTATTACAACAGAATATATTAATATATTTTGTGTTTCAATTTTCTTAATACAACCCTGGACGGGTTTGATTTTTTGGCCCAAAAATGTCTACGAGCACATAAAAACGTCAATAGCATTATTCACCATTGATCGTGTGTCGGACTATACCAGCTCTGTGAAATCCAAAAAATCTGAGAAATCTTTCTAAAATCATAATGTATTTCCGTGCAGTTTTGAGCAGTTTTCAATAACAAAAGCAAAACAAAATGAAATAAAAAAATGCGAATATGAAATTATTAAACCAATTTTGCTATTGTTAATTTAAATAAACTAAACTAGTGGGATCCTTAATTTGGATTTTTTTGAGTATTCGCTCAACTCAATTTTACAAAATTATTTCCGGCTTTGATTGTAATTTTCTACTCAACACATATTAATAATTACCAAAATTCTTCACTAAATGTCTTAAACATTCCCTATTCTATAAAGACAATATATAAATATATAAAATAAAATATAACCTCAAATTTTCAAATTTATGTTACTTATAGTTGTTATATCAAATCGATGTTCCCGGTTCCCATACGATACGATACGATAATTTGTGTGTGATGTATATAAGGGTTTCTTTTATTTATTTATCTTCTAAAGTAAACAAATTTTCCAAATCTGAAGAGAAGGAAAAAAATCAAGAGACCGAATATCCATTTTGAAAATGTATGAATTTATTTATTAGTTTGTTTATCTATTTAATAATAAATTTTAATACTGTCAGTTAGACAGCTCATTAGCGTCCCAACGTATTTTTTGATATAATTTTAATTTAATAGTTTCTAATTATTTTAAAAATTGGCACATTTGAAAAAAACTAAAAAATAAAAAACTAATCCCAAGATAATTCTTTAAACAATGTGTAATCTGGTGCACCAGCTCTGTAAAATCCGTGAAAAATCATACAATTTTAGGTTTGGGCACTTTCCATTAGATAAATTATCTTTAAATAATTGACTTGTGACTTGAAAAATTCCAATATGTCACTAAATAACAATTTTTACGTTATTTGTAGATTGCCTCTAACGTGTAACCAAGGGTGTAACGTTTGATTGCACGTTTACAAATTTTGGGAAACATCAGTTGGTAACTACAAGAGAGCTAATTATTCTAAAATTAAGCGACCTTTATTCGTGACATATGCGATTTGGATTTCTTAGAGTGTTCACTCAACTAATGATTTATACATGGAGAATTATTCGGGGATATCATCCTCCGTTCGTTTATTGAATTCAACAAACTAGCTTGAATTTTTAGGTTAAGATATAAGACATAAGATAACATCTTCAAAAATATTTTCTCTGCTTTTTTTTCTACTTGCCTTATATTTTTCCTAACTAAAAAAATCCCAACTAAATGAGTCAAACATGCCGTTTTCTATGAATTACAGTTGAAGAATATAAAAAATGAAAAAATTAAATTTTGAAGAAAAAAACAAAAATATTATATTTATTAATATATAACTGACACTGACAATAATCTTTCCCATTGAAAAAAAGGTTTTAAATATATTTTTTACTTTTTTTTCAATTATCACGGAATAAAATAAAATCTTTTAATATCTCGTATACAAATCATTTTTCAAAATCGGTGAAATCTGGAATAAAATTTAAACATTTGTAAAGTCTTTATAGAATCCGTGAATTTATCGTGAAATCCGTGAAATTGCATGAAAGTGTGTGCAATCTGGTACACTAAATTTTGGACAGTGAAGTGCCTCTCGGTTTAAAACCTTCTTTACATTGCGATGTAAATCGATTTTTTTATTTAACCCCAGGATCAAAATTCTCCAAATCTAATTGATAAAAAAATGTTCCCACTTGATGCAGATTATAGTAGTCACCGAAGTGGTACAATGGATATAATACCATGCTTACTTAAAAATCCGTTGCTAACTAAAATGTTTTGGTGAAGCAAAATTGAAAGTTTGATTGGTTTTCCTATGTTTATATACATTCGTTAATTACCGAAATCGAGTAAAAGTATATAAGTGGATCCTACCTTCTCGAATTCTTGAATACACGCAGTTCAATATTTCTCTAGAAAGCATAACTCCACTTTTAGCCCCTTGAAAAAGTTTCTAATTTCTGCCTTTGTCGCAGACGGTTCAATTTAGATTTATTCGAGCCTTTATTTTACTTTATATTCGTTCTTTATAGGCTAATGGCATAAAAAAGGCCCAATTTGTTATTCAGTATAATAACAAAAAAGTATATTTCAGAAAACGGTGTTAAATATATTATTTCATTTTCGAAAGGATTTACCTGACGAATAGAGCATCTCCAAGCATATTGTTTTTCAATAATATGATAATAAAATATATCCTACCTAATTTAATAATTACTATTACCATTTTTATTTAAAAAATGAAGACAGTTTTGCGGGTGATGTATAAGGTCAAAAGGACTTAAAATTGGAGAAAATTGCAAAACTAGCATATACCAATACTAATAAATTTTGTGGAATCACTAAGATTCACAAAGGGCTGCGCCTCCTACTGAGCGTTCTAGTCTAAGAGGTGGAACAATGAACCTGATGAGGTACTTGAGCCTTGATGCAAATCTGGCTGCCAAGCAACCTCTTTCGCTTACAGGCACAAATTTTATTTACACGTTTTGAGTAAATGAGACTTGGCAAGGAAAGCACGACAATTTTGGGCGGTTTAAAAAAAAATAACAGATATATAAATAAAAAACTCTATGACTACAACTGTCAATACATTTTATGACAACTCCTATGTAATGTACAAGAACCAACCGGAATTCTCATGAAATTTGAAGGAACTACTGAGTAGCTTTAGAGTAAGTCTACTCGTCTACTTAAGCAATAGCTGAATCAGCGGAGATATCACACTTGGTTATAATATAAAGAAAATTGTAATCTATAGAAAAATAGCGATTTTTTTATCTTGCATCTATACGAACCTCTAAAATATTTCTTTCTTCTTTCAAGACCAACCAAAAAAAAAACACCAAACAACAAATAAATTCACATATCACCCGATAATGCGCGTCGCGAAGGCAGAAAATGTCAAAACAGACCTATCCTTTCTCAGCATCACACTGAAAAGTTATTTTTTAAACAGAAAACTGCACTTTTCCTGTGAGACTGAACGCGCACTGACTTTGTCAACCATACACCCCACGCGGTGCCTTTCTGTCGACTGAAATCGCGGTGCCGCTTTGCGGTTAGCACACACACACAGCCGGTGCAGGAGAGCGTTCAATGAAACGTTGGATTTCTTTGGAGTTGATGGCCCGCACAGAGCAGGAATAACAATTTATTCCGAACACCCATTTGGAGATTTAAATGCTCCACCCATTGCGAGCGAATGCTATAATATTTATAATACCCCCACGTACATTACAAATTAAACAGAAAGATTTACAATTAAATAGTACAGAGCGCCACGCACTCAAACTATAATACAATTATGCAAAACATGTTTTAAATTATTGCCAGAATCCAAGTACGAACAAACATACACAACAACTTCATATGAATATATGTTGAAAACGTCTTAAATGTTCAGGTAAAGGGTGGTAAAGTTTTCAGAAAAAATCTAAAAAATAGTAAATTCGAAACCCCCCATATTTAACAAATGAAGTTGACGACCGATTCGAAATTCGAAGCTAGAACTGAAAAAACAATAACAGTTTTAACATTAAACTGTTCCTTGAAAATTAACGGTTTTTTAAATAATCTATCAAAGAGATTTAGGTATTCGTTACTAACCGGATCAGTTATTATCCCAACAATATATTCATGTTGGATATGTTTCCTGATTAATATATTGTGCGATATCTCACCCTTTTCTGGCATGACAGCCATAAACGAAGCACCTTTTCTACATTTCATAGACAGCGAACAATGCTAGATGAAGGACAAATTATGATAAATAATTATACCTAACTACATATACCGATCTAGCGTGCGGGAAGCGTCACTTTACCAGATCAGTTCCTTGTCCCACGGATCCGAGCCCCTTCGGACATTTCAGGGATATTACCGCTCGGGTTTGGGAACAATCGGATGTTTTCGGAGGTTTTACCACACGCCTTGAATTTTGACGTTTGCCAATTCATAGAGTAATGTCAGAAATGTATTCGTGTTGTTTTGCAAAAATGTACCCAAAAACTAACGGTCCTAGAAAAAGTATAGTATGCAACACGTTTGGTAACCTTTTCAAAATAAACTCGTGACTCAAATGCCTATTACCTCACTTGTTGCATCATATACTAATTTTATACTCCTATCTCCCAAATGCCGAATTATACACCGATCTAGCGTGCGGAAAGTGTTATTTTACCACGTTATTTTCGTTTCCCACGGATGATCTAAGCCACTTCGGTCATTTCCGGGATATTACCTCATGGGTTTGGCAGCAATCGGATGTTTTCGGAAATATTTCCACATCTTGACTTTTGGGGAACTAACGGTCGTAGAAAAATATAGTGTGTAACACGTTTGGTTTTTTTTACTTCCGTCTATAAAATACCTAATTTCACACCGATCCAGAGTGCGGAAAACGCCACTTTACCACGTCATTTTCGTTTCTCACGGATCCGAGCCACTTCGGACATTTTCGGGATTTTACCGCACCGGTTTAGGTGCAATCGGATATTTTCTGAGATTTTACCGCACGGTTTGAATTTTGATGTTTGCCAATTCTGTGAATTGGGTATCAATGTGTGTTGCTTGCAAAAATGTACCCAAAAACTAATACAGAAAAAAATATGATGCAATATATCAGACAATTTAAATACTGCGTGCTATAAGCTACAATTAAAATCTGGTGGACTAGTCCCCTAGTTTCCCACAGAAGTTTAACATATCGTTCGCTTGAACTCTAGTGGTTTTTACAGTTTTTATATTAATATCTTGCCGAGACCAACTGTACCATTTTCAAAGATCTATATCCTATCAGTACAAGCAAAACAAAATTGAAGGTTAGGACCTGCTTTTTCTTGCTAATAGGATCTCAAAAATTTAATCTAATTACAGGCTTTTTCTTTAAATAAACCACTTAACTATCAATTGTAAAAGTTAAATATACAACATAACGTTTTAAAATTTTTTATTGCGTTGTTTATATGTTAAAAAGAGACAACTATTGAAGAGCCGATCGGAACGATAAACCAATAGGTTTGATGGCAACTAGTAAATATTTTGAATGCTACGAAATTTACTAATCCGATGATCAGTTGTTATTTTTAATTTCTTAAATTGTGATTTTTTCGTGACTGTCGTAGAGAAAGCATAGTATGCAACACGTTTGGTAATAGTATATTATGCAACAAGTGCGGTAAACGGCATTTGACTCACGAGTGGGTTAAAAAGTTCACCGAACGTATTGCATACTATACTTTTTCTACGACCGTTAGTTTTTGGGTATAGTTTCGCAAAACAACACGAATACATCCATTGACATAACTGCCAGAATTGACAAACGTTAATTTGAAGCCCTGCGGTAAAATCTCCGAAAACATCCGATCGCTCCCAAACCCGTGCGGAAAAATCCCGAAAGTGTCCGAAGTGGCTCGGATTCGTGGGAAACGAAAATGACGTAGTAAAGTGACGCTTCTCACACGCTAGATCGGTGTGTAATTAGATTGTACAGACGGGGGTAGAAAAACTCTTTATCTCACTCATTTATTAAGCACTCGCTCCACTCGAGCCAAATAAACTCGTAAGTCAAATGCCGTTTATCACACTTGTTGCATAATATGCTATGTACTGTCGCTCGGTGTGCGAGGTCGGCTTAATATAATATTATGTTATAGCATATTCCAAACTATAATTTTCAGCTCATCACATACCTACATGCAGATTCGAAACAGTTGTTTAGACTAGAAAATTAAAAATATTAAAATTAAAAATTAATAATAAAAGTTAAAAATATTCATTTGTCTGGTTCCTCTAACATCGATATTGAATTTTATATAAAAATTATAGACTACAATTTTTTTCATTTTTCCTTCTTTACCTAAATCGAAAAAAACTGACGACTAAAGGTAGATTATTAAATTATTGTTGAAGCCGCGCATTTTTTAGTTTAAAAGGATTAACGGTAAAAAGATAAACATGACGCATTCGGTTATGGATGTCGTATAAGAGCGGTCGCATGTTCCATACACGTGAATTGTTTTTTTAGGCCTATCCACTTAAACGTAAAATCCAATCCCAAACAAGCTGAGCTGAGCTGTATATTCAAACCAAATGAAATACCTAAGTATGTGGTAATAGCGTTACAAAGACTCTAATTAAGAACTTTTTATATCCTATCAATATTATATTCTATGAAACAGAAAAGTTGGTTATAAGCTTATTTCAGTAAACCAGCTGCTAGTTATTAAATTTAAAATAATAGATTGAAATTATAAAGACTGTTCTTCGGCTTGGTCGATGGAAGAAGTTTGTTAAAATATAGATTATCAATTTTAAAACATTTTATTTATAAAAATATACATGCTCGGTCCATAAAACTAACAAATATTTACAAATTTACATCTAAAATAAAACGTATAATTATAAATAAAATAGATACACTTTCACCATAAAAATAAATTGTACAAATAATTCTAGATACTAATAATATTATTTAAAAAATGTACAAAACAAAAATCTAAACATTTAGACCATACATAAATACTTATTAATTATTCGGAATCGGAAAAGCCGTGATATTATTGCAATTTTAGTTCCTGTCTCAGTATTTTACCGCTGGGGTTTCTGGGGATGGAATTGATAAACTTCACTCCTCCGGCGAGCTTTTTGTAGTGTGTTACTTTGGCACTTACAAACCTCTGAATGTCCTCTTCATTTAAATTTTGTCCTGGTTTAGTTACTACGTACGCCCTTGGTACTTCTCCGGCTAAATCGTCTGGGATACCCACCACGGCTGCGTCCATTATGCCTTCAATTTCCATGATTAGATTTTCTAGCTCTGTAGGCGATACCTGGAAATTATTATTTACTTAGTAGTTGCTGGAACAAAATAAATTTTATGGAACAAATAATCGCTGTAAGGTTAGGTAGGTTTCTGTAATTTTACATGTAATTGCTTTCTAGGGTGTATATAAATTATTCACTAACTGTATGATCCTCATAGTTTCACAATTACAGCTTTTTATTAACCGTAGAAAACATGAAAACAATTCATCTCGTTCCAACCTAGCACTAGACTTCATATGAAAATTACTTACCAAACTCTGATAATGCTTATTTTATGTCAAGTTTCATGAGGTGCTTTTAAAAACAAGAATTTTTGCGATTGACTCCAAAGGATAAAATAATGACGTCATCACACACTGATATCACAATCTTTATGGTCATGTAATATACATAACATAAATTTGTAAACATAAATAATATTTAAAAACAAAGGAAAAAGGTACTTATTTTAATAATTGGTTAAACCGACGTCTTTCCGCTACTTCTAATGTCCTAAAGGGGTCTGTAAATGGCGAAGATAAGAAAATTTGGTAGCTGAAGGAAAAAACATGAATGTGGCACCGTCACCACGTCACCATTGAACCGAGCTTAAATAAAAATTTTCGAAAATTATGTATTGAAGTCTAATAATTCCCGAGACATATAGGCCGTTGGGTCACTTTTGACTAACCCTGTATATTTTTATTACACGTTTAATGTATATGTTTAAATAAAAATAGCATAAAGTATTCTTTTTATTTAGTGTTAAACACAAATAAATTTTCCTGACTCCGGTTCTGTATGTACGAGCGTGAAGTTCACGTCAGACGCATTTTGCGCGGGCTACTGGCACTGAACATGCACAGTGATTCGATAAAGGCCAAAGTACAAAAGACGAGGTTGACGTTTTAGAACTTTGTTTTTGACGCTTGACGATTTGCCTTTTGTTTGGTGTTTTGATGGAATATAGTTTAGAATAATTTCGTTGGAAAATATGGAAAACGCGGAAGAAATATTGCACAGTTTGGAGGAATTTTCCAAAATGAAGCCGAAAGATATACCGAGGGAATTAGAGGAATACTTATGTTTTGTTGCGAAGACGGGAGACCCAGTTTACCAATGGTCGGCAATCAAAAGTCTTTTTCGGGAAAAATTGATCAGTGTAGTGCAAGAATTTTACGAATCCTGTCCGATGATGGATATTCCGCCGTGTCCCAACGTCGATATGTTTAACTACGATCTCATGAAAAATTTTATCTTAGAGAGATTGGAGACTTTTACTGCCGCCCCATTTACATTGCAGAGAATATGTGAGCTGCTTACAACCCCTCGCAAGGAATACAATCGGATAGACAAATTTATGAGGGCTTTAGAGAAGAATATATTAGTGGTAAGCACTACAGAGCCAGGACGAAAAGGAACAGAAAATGGAGAAGGCATAATGAATGGAATAGAATCTGAACACGTACCTGAACCAGGTAATGAAATAAATATTGAAGAGATGGATGATTCTTCAACCTGGTCTCAAGCAATAACCACAAATCATGTTTCATTCGAAGGGCGAATAGAAGAACAGACAATAGATATGCAAGGTTCACCTAATTCAGATGCTTTCGATAGTTTGAAGGCGAGCAGTGAACCAGTGACTGCCAACCAAGAAAGTGTTATTAGCTGTACCTTAGATGAAGACCAGTATGTATCTATCGAGGCAGTAACTGAAGAAATTCACTCTCAAACCACTTTAGATAAAAATGAAGTAGATTTATCTGTGACAATAACTGCCGTGAATGTCAAGACTAATATTGTAGAACACATAGATACTCAAGAAACATCACCTGCCCTCAAGAAAGTAGCAGAAACTGTAAGTTATATTTGTTTTTATCTCTTTTATCCATAAAACATTTGATTAGAAGTTTATTTCTTAGTAAAATAATAAATAAAATAATCTTTTAGTAAATAAATGCTTTTAGAGTCCCTGAAAGCAATTTTTTATATAACTAAGATCTATAAGATAAGATAAGATTATATATATATATATATATATATATATATATATATATATATATATATATATATATATATATATATATATATATATATATATATATATATATATATATATATATATAAACTTGCAGATACATGCATATAAGATATACTGCGTATTTTATAGATACCAATTTTAAATGAAGAAGCAAAACCAAGCTTGAATGAACCTAAATGTGCTGATGATGATGTCTCCAAAGAAATTCCATCAATACAATCAGAGACGAGTTCTGAACAATTGCCTGAACAAGAAGAGCCACCACCATCTCCTTCAGAAGCTGGGGGAATTGAAAACATTTCACCAGAAACCAGCACATCATCTCCAGAAACTTTGAAAGATCAAGCCGTTTCCCCTGAATCCAAACCAGAAGAATTGAAACAGAACAAGCCGTCAGATTTTCATGAGGAAAAACTCGAAAATATCTCTGAAAGTACTGAATGTGGACAACTACCATCTCTAACAGAGGCTGGAGATAGTATTATGAAAGAAAATGAGAAAAAAGGTTTGGTAGATGCTGTAGTGACAGCCGTTGATGACAAAAATAAAGATGCAGAAAAAATTGATAATTTCAAAAATTCAGATGAAGATAAAAAAGAAAATAATGAAGCAGACAAAAGTAAAGAGCAACTTGAAAACAACTCCAAAGATGAAATTCAAGATGAGGAAAATAAGGTAGAGACTCCTATGGAAGTTGACCCTGCAGACGCAAAACTCGATGAAGGTGCACCATTGAAGGAGAGAGAAGCTAATTCCGAACCCCCAGTTTAATGTTAAATATCCTATTTGTTTATAAATTCCCTAGGACTGGTGAAAATTCTTGTGGTAAAGTTTTTTTTATTAATACTTGTCTTTTCTACATTTCCATTTAATTTAGAAAATTTTGGAATATGTAAATATGAGTCTGTTGAGGTTAGTTTATACTTGGGAAAACATTGCAGAAGGGATTTTAATTTTACTGAAATTCTCATTTTATCACTGTTGTGAAGGACTATGAGAATTGACGCAATTTTTAATTAATAAACAGTGTGAGTAAGACATTTTTGTTTATTTGATTTGATTTGTTAAAATCTTGCCTGTTATGAAGTGTCAAAAAAATCTAGTGTACATAGGATTTTATTAAATTGTTTGTTATATGACAATATTTTGCGCGTTTTGAGTTTAATCAAAGCTGATAGTCTGTGGTTTCTACTCTGTAAACCATGCAAAAGTATCTCATATAAAAATTAATAAATATTATTTCCCGATTTAATTAAAGCAACAGCCCAAAAAGGTTGGTGGAAAAAATATCAATCTGTGATATACTTAAGTGCATGTCTCACATTATTTTATTTAGTTTAAGTTTATTATACCCACTTAAATATGAATTGAAGGATAAAGTCTGTTCATAGATATAAGAAAGCGACTAATTGATACGAATTAAGGAAAGACCCGGGCAAGCTGTAAGAATGAAATATGGCCGAACAGGTCCGTACTTTGCTTGGAATTTAATTATTTGAGGTTTTGTTAGGAAAGATACTAAACAATATTTATTTATTTATGTATGTATTTATGTTTAAACCTAAAATAAAATTACAAATTATTTTTATTACCTACTTAAATTTAATTAATTAATATATAATTAATATTTTAATCAATTAATATATCAGTAATTATCCGGATTAGTTAATATATCAGTAGCACTATCGCTATCATCGCCTGTTTTAAATATTATTTGTTCTATATTATTTGCAATGTGGATATACGATTGTTCTGCTTTTTCTATATGTTTAACAGAATTTGCCCAACTTTGTGGAGGGATGTTAAAAACTTTGGTTTGTATTAGTTTGAGAACATCGGAGTTAACACGGGGAAAAACATTGTTACGGCGAATGCCAGATTTCAGTTGGTGCCAAACATGTTCAATGGGATTAAATATACAGTGGTAAGGAAGCCTTAAAACTGTGTGCCCTAGATTTTTTGCATAATTATCACCGACGTATTCCTTTTGTAGGTTCAAGCTTTGTAGAACCTCAATTAATTGCTTTTTGGTATAAACTTCGCGAAAATAAATGTCGTTATTATACATGTACTTTTGGATTGTTGCTTTTGTGTCACATGAGGAAGGGGTTTTAGTCAACTGTCTACTTTGATAACTTGCATTGTCCATTACAATGACGCTATTAGGAGGAATGTTTGGAACTAGTTTGTTTTTAAACCAACTTTCAAATACATCAGAGGTGGTGTCTTCATAGTAATCCAGAGAAGAATCTTTAATATTTTTCGCAGACATAGAAAGTCCATTTGGAATCCAACCATTTTTACACCCAGCATGCAATATAGTTATTCTTTTACCTGTTTTTCATGGCGCGTTTATTTTATACTTATCAGTTAAGTCAACCCAACCCTTTTCCGGGGTATCATAAGTGTCGAACCAGGTTTCATCCAAGTAAATAATTGGCCTTTGTTGTGTTCTGTAAATCCTAATTTTTTGTAGATATTCCAGTCGCCATTTCCAAATTCTAAAAGATTCCATTAAAACTTGCCTTTTGTCAATTTTTTTAAATCTAAAACCCATGTGTTGAATACACTTCCATAAGGTAGTTCTACCACATCTAACACCGGTTTCATCTTTTTCAAGCCTCCTAATTAAGATATCTAATGTAGGCGCGCTTTGTTCCTCGTAAAACTGGTAAATTTTAAGCCGTATTATATCTTGATCACTTTCATCTACACTTGAGAAAATGTCAGCATCGCTTCTTTTTTTCATCGCAGAAATGGGATTATTCACAATTTTCCATACAGTTGATGTTGGAATTTTCGTCAATGTGGCCGCTTCTACTAAAGATGCTTGCTTGCTGGCACTACGTTCAATGAAAGTCAAATAAACATTGTTTATAAACCCTTAGTATCAATAGAATAGTGTTTTTTCTATATTTGGGTGGGAGCATCTCCTGAGATACACTAGAGTAGATATTTTGCATAATTCGCACACGATTCATCACACGCTGTATTACACACGAAATAAGAATGATTACTAATAAACTTAAACTAAGTAGTATACCAAACCAAAGAATATTAAACACAAGTAGGTAAAATTGTTTTCTATTATGGACCACAATTTTACCTGAATTTAAATTCCGAAACATTAGGTAATAATTTTGTTGCATTGTATGTTAATGACCACCCTGGGATAATCCGATTCAAAAGCAATTGATCACTTTCTTATATCTATGAACAGCCCATACCAGCCTTGCCCTTTAATAACATCACTTTAAGATAAAACTTTTAATAGGTTTACGCCTTTTGGGTGTACTTTTCTTTTTTTGACACATATCCACCTACCTGTCATTCTTCCCAATTCTAATTTATTTGTTTTTCTCACATTCAGAGGGTTGTTTCCACCATTGCGTACACAAATAATAATAATAAATTCAAATGGAATCTTTTTTTACGTCTTATAGAAGCGTGAAACAAAACTCGTTTAAGTTCACCATATTTTCAGATTGGCCATACATTATCTGCGAATTTTTTGGAAGAAAATCTGTCTTTTTTATTGGTACACCTGGGTTTTATAAGAGGAAAAAAATATTGTTGAACATTGCCAAAAGTATAGATAAACATCTCATTTTAATTTAATATAGTTTTTGAACTAAACTAAACATAAACATAATGAAGCTTTAGAAGTTGCCACATTGGGGATTAAATTAAAAAAACTACGTAAATGTAAAAAGGCAATGTTACGGGATTCTCCGACTTATAGGTCTTGTACACCATGCACCGAACTGCCACAAACTATATATTTTTTAATTATAAGGCGGTTATTTTCTCCCTTCATTCATGCATTCTGCAATTTGACAGCACAATATACACATATCCACATTCACATCAACCTCCATGGCTACCCCTGTTCCCCTAAGCCACTAAAAGTCCGTACCTGATTTCCTTTTACTTTGATGAGTTCTTTACATCTGTCCACAATGTAAAAATAACCATCTTCATCGTAATAAACCACGTCACCCGTGTGAAGCCAACCTTCTTCATCAATTATTTCAGCGGTTGCTTTTTCATTATTCATATATCCCATCATAACCTGTGAAAATGCGTTTATATACTATTAGATTTTATACAGAGTGTTTTAAATTTGATTCTCCCGGATTTCGGAAAGGGTATATAAGATACAGGGCGGCAAAAATTGAAACAAAGTTTCATATCTCTTATATTGATATTACTTTACAAAAATTGCATAATGTTATAAACATTTTTTGTGGATTTAGGTACATAGAAATAGCGACTGATCTTGACCAACGCTCATCTTTATTTTAGGTATGGCAGAATTTACCAAAAAAACCTTCTGGTTTTTTATCTATTCTGTGACATTGATAGTTAATTTACAGGAACATAACCTTGTATATATGCAATCTTTGTCATAAAAAATGAACTAATAATCACGAAAAACGAAAACCAAAGGAAACGAAAAAAATTAGTGTATTTTTTACCGCTTCTGAGATAGCAATAGCGTATGCTGTACAAATTTCAAAGAAATGTGGTACACTCACTTGGGGTCCACGTACTAACAGCTCGCCAGCCTGATGCGTTCCGAGAGGCTCTCCATTCTTTAGGCTGATAACTTTTGCTTCGGTGCCAGGATAAAGCAACCCTATGGTGCCAATTTTCGATGGAGGAGTTAATATGGGCATTAGGAATGTAACTGGAGAAGTTTCTGTCATACCGTAACCTAAGTAAATAAATTTCTAATAACTACAGTTGGATTAAAACTTATGTAACCTACCCTGTCTAATGGAGACATTAGGATTATCTAGTTTCTGTCTGAATTTTTGCAATAAACCTTCTGTTAAAGGCGCTGCTCCGGACGTTATGCCCTCTACAGAGCTCAAGTGTTCCGTTTTCACAGCGGGATGCGTCGCCAAGAAAAGAAGCAGTGATGGAACCACAAAAAGATATGATGGTTGATGTTCTTCCAGGGCTTTAATGTAGTCTTCAGGAGTGAATCTAAAATTAAACACACTGCAATAAAATTCACATTTTCACAATAAATGTTACCGTGGTATGGTGATCAGATGGCAGCCCGTACGTAAGCTGATATTCATAATCCCGTTAAATCCATAAATATGGAAAAATGGTAGGACTGTGAGTACTTTATGTCTCTCTCCACCTAAAAATGAGAATATTATTTCCGGTTCTAAGTGATTAAAAGAAAGATTTTTCAACTTTATGTGTACTTACTTTTCGTAAATTCATTGTTTACCATTGCTGGATGATCGCCTTGGACCAAGTTAGCGACAAGATTCCTGTGCGATAGCATAACACCTTTTGGTAAACCAGTTGTTCCACTAGAATACGGTAAAAGCGCTAAGCTATCTGGGTGTATTTCGGGTAAGTCCGACTCGTGTCCTGATGTCAGTAAACTCATAAGACCATGCACGTTTTTTGATGCATCATCATCGCCGCCAATACAAATTGTAGATCTAAAACAATTACAATGAGCAAATCTCCAAAAGGTAGAGTAAACTAAAAAAATAATCTACCCCTTACTTGTATCCAGGAAGACTGGGTGCTATTGTTGTGGCTACTTCAAGAAGTAATGGAATTGTTATAATCATCTTTACGCCAGCATTTTCAAACTGCCTCTTTATTTCATCTAAAACAATAACAATGTCTACTGGTTGTAACGGAGTTAAAAGTTTTTACCTGGCGTATAAAGAGGATTGACAAAAGTGACGGCAAGGCCAGCTTCTAGCGCACCGTGACACACTATGATATATTCTGGAATGTTCGGTAGAAGTAAGCCGACAACCTCTTTAGGCTTTAAACCGCAATGTCCTAGTAGAGCTTGCGCACACCTGTTAATCAGCATTCGCAACATTCCATAAGTATAACTCCTTCCAGACGCTGCACATGTCTATAAAGCAGGTAATTAATATGCTTTATTATTATATTACATTCAATTATTAACAAAAAATTGTTAAGTCCTAGGTTCCTATAAAAAAAAATTATGCCAGAACTGTATGGCCATTCGAGTAATTCTTCTTGCGTGATCTTTTTCGATTTCTTTGTATCTTCTAGTAGTTATCTATTGCAGTGTGGTAAAACAACAATAAATATGTAGGTATATAAATTACTATTGGCGTAAAAAATTTAAACAAATTAAAGAATTTCCATCAGAACTAAAACTTTTGTTGTAAATATTTCCATAAATATTTAGCAAACTTTTTAATTAATTTACTATTAAACTGGAAAGCACCACTAATTGATGCAAATTGCACGTTACTATTAAAATTATTACGTACATTGCATTTTTATGAATATAACCTCATACCCAAAGTTAAAAATACTGAAATGGAGTGCAATAATCTTAATTTATATAGATGGAAATGCAAGTGTGTGGTAGTTAATTGTTAGCAGGCAAAACCGATGCATTTATATAACATAGTTCTGCCCAACTTTACATTTACATTTCTGTTCAAACTTTTCTTTTATTTGTACAGACCGACAATCTGTGACAACTAATTCAAATCGAATTATTTAGATATTGAGTTGCTCCAATTATTTGTCTGTCTGCAGTGATAATGTGATATCAGTGCAATATCAAATTAAGCGTTTCCCAGGAGGACATGTTTTTGTTTGTTCATTCATTAGACACTACAGCGGCGTTAATACAATAATTATCAGTTAATGCCATAGATGCGACAGAGAAAATTTGTTGGCGAATATTTAAAATTTTAATACCTTAACGCAACTTGGTCACAATTGTCGGTATTTTGTGTTACTAGATTTTATTTGTATCCAGGAGAATACATTTCAAATGAAAATTGTTATATACATTACATATTTGTATATTTTGTGAACTATATAACTATTATCTTGTATAAAGTTTTTTAATTAATTTTAGAATCAATTCACACTTTAAGATCTGCTTTAAAAAGTTAAGAAAGATTCGATATTTCTGTCTCTAAATGCCAAACTGCTTCGCCTACTTCTAAGAAGCTGTAGGTTTCGATCGATGCGTGCTTGTAGGCTGCTTACCTAACATTAGAAAGATCTACATTTAAGTGCGACTGTTATCTGCTCTTAAACATGAAAAAGTTCAGTCTTCGGTGTCAATTAGTAACTGTAAGTAATATTGATCATTTCGCAATGGATATGTTTTAATGAATTATTCAATTCCAGGCTCAACAAATGAGTAAATAATAGAAATTTTATCTAGGCTTGTATTTTAAAGGTTTTGCCTATTCAGAGTAAGTAGTATACTGTGTTCTTATATAATTTGTTGAATTCATATACTTACCGCTGCTGGTTCTTCCATGAAGTTATCGATCGACCGGTAAACATGTTGCACCAAGTGCTCGTTGGGTATGGGTCCGTGGGTACCGAGAGGAGATTTTAATATGGCAGTGCCCAAGTGTCTGATTTGATTAAGCCGTCTTCTGTTTGTGTTGTTCTTTGCGTAAAATTTTAGCGATGTGTTGGGCGTGGAGACGGAAAACGTTCGCTTGTCTTCACCAAAACCAACCACGGCCAAAAGACTTACGGCTCCACGTTGACTGTGTTGGATTACCCCATTTGAAACTTGTTTTAAGATTATGTTGGACATTTTCGGTTAAATCTATAAGAAAATATTACCGTTTAATAATCGACAGGTTTACAGGATAATTTAAAAACAATGTATGTATATGTTTCAATCAATTTTCGATGGCAAACTTTTACCTTCCAGTATTACTTATTAAAAAAATGGTTAAATTCCGTTGCTTACCTCTCCAAGGCAGTATTGTACGTATAAACGATTATAGTATTTTCGCGTTTGCTTTTATATCGTCGCCAATAGCAGATATTTATCATGCAAGTGAGCTTTATATCGATTTGGAGAACATTTTGGGTAGGAGTGCGGAGAGTTATCTTAGGATCGTCAGACGATTGAGTTAAAGTGCGTTTAATAATATTAACGAGATATAGGAAGAAAACCGCTTTCGCCACACATTTCACGCGTCATAGCTTTCGAAACGTCCTGTAAATACTACAATGCAGAGTCTCGTTTATCCGTTGAAGTCAAGAACTTTTTCTATTAGCCAAGCAGTTGACCAGAAAAAATATTCCCTCCCCATTTCCAGCACAGTATCAATAAGATCCAAACACCATCACGTTCATAATAATACACAAATTTTATTTCGAGCACATTTAATAACATATCTCGAATATTTTAAAAGTTATCTAGCTTAAAAAGAATCCCATCCATGTACCTACCACTTGACTCTTATTTCGAGTTCTGCTTGCTCAGTCGCTGTTCAACAAATAGCACATTCGTCAATAAAGTCAAAAAGCCTAATGTGCTCTAAAAAGATTTTTAATAGATTTGAAGCAAAAATTACATTATATCGCGCTTAATTTTGATTTAAAAAAATCGAAAATTTTTATCTCGGAAGTTACAGTAAAAGAGTAAAAGAACTTTTCCACAAATATTTTTCCATTCAAAAACATAAGTAAAAAATGTGTGCATTTTTTTTAATATTAACGTATATTTGTTTAATTGGTTCTCCCCATAAAATATCATAATTGTTCGAACAAACACTGCTGTGTCAAACCCAAAGTCCAATAGTCCGCCAATTAAAGGAACATATGCAGCAAGAGGATATCTTGTTTTTAAGTGAGCGGTTTTTGTTTAGCCGTCGTGTTTGTGCAGCATTTTTATTGCTGTTGGAAAGTAATCTACAATATCTTGTACTTATTTTACAAGAATAAACATAGGAAATTACCCTCTGGATATTATCGAAACAATGTTTTAAATCAATGTCAGAATACATCGATTAAAACTCAGAACTAGGAAAATATTTTCTTCAGTAGATGCAAGTTCTTTAATATGAGAAGCAACAAGACTCAAGTTTTTCGATATACAATGCTAAAAAGGTTTGCACACGAATTATTATGGACAATTAAAAAAAAAATATATCATTTTAGTAATTAATGCCAAAACTAACCTACTTTATATTAAGTTCCGCTTCCCCTATCACTGTTTTTTAAATCCATGTATGGTTGAAATATCCAATACCTAATTATCGGATTTTTTGTGGCACATGAATAATATTCACACAAATTTTAATAGAATACTATTACAGGAGTACTTCTAGGGTAAGTGTTCTTACTCCTTTTAATGCATGTTGAATTTGTTCCATCGGATAAATAATATGTAGAAAAACGCACCTGTACAAGTATAACTAATAAAAATAATATTCATGAATATTTTTATCTAACGAAATTAATATTAAGTAAATTATTTACTTATTATTTTACGGTTCTAGAGTAAAAATTAATTTATTTTTTTTTAGACGAAGTAGATTTTAGTTAATAAAAAAAAGGAAACATATATACCCAATGCTAAATTTAGTAAAATTGAAACATAGAAAAATTTAAGTTCTAAACTTACTTTTTGAACGGCCCGGGCTCATTCAACAACTTTAATCTCGATAAAATGGGCGGGATTTTCTCTTATTTACCAACTCAAGTAGAACTATTGAAAAGTAGTAAAATTGAATCGCACAAAATTACGTTTGACGATTGGTAAAAAAATAATTCTGCGCAAGCTATACAATTACATATGCTAGCAAATGGAATTAAAAAGGTGTTTAAGTGGCGGAAAGTTTAAATTTAGATCGAAGCGTACTCCAAACGTGACGTCGCTTTACTTTTTCGCGATCGATGCAATAGGTACATGCCGGTTTATACAAGGTGTTCGCGAGTTAGTTTTTGAATGCGCTTAGCTCTTATTGGTTGGTTTGAAATGACAGCTATCAGAGATTTCAAACGACTACGCAAGCGCACACTAAATGATCCCTCAGTACTTTCCTTCGATGTCGCTTCAAAAGTTCATGTACTATCAGTATAGGCCTCTATATTTGGTAGCTATATGGCCAAAACAAATAGTATGGTATGTTCCTTTCGGTCATCGCGATTTGTGGCACGCAAATCAAAAGATTTTTTTTTTAAATATTATCGATATTAATGGTTAGGTACAATAGTTTTAGCTAGTGTTTTTCTACATTAGAAACAGACCAGCGTAGTATTTTGTGTAATCTTCTGTTACCTTGCAAGTATAGGCATCTTCTTTGCTGTTAACATTTTACGGTCACGGAAAATTACGTAGATACGCTACCACCATCGTCCAGTATGCATGTCGCTTTTTTTAAAATTAATATTTCACTTTTTATTGCGAAATTATATCATGTATCACTTGCGATCCGTATCGATATTGGAATAATTCAAACAGTTACCAGGTTCATAATAGAAAGCCTTTCTATTTCCTTAGCTGCAATACGCTGATAAAAAGGTTGGTGGAATATTTTATAGTTGTATTCATCGAATTTGCAAACCTTATCAGTTCTTATATTGTGTCTGTTCTTTACAGAACTCGAAAATAAAATTAACAGACCATTGGTAATATATTATATATATATTAAACTATCGTATTTAGGTTAGTTTTCTGTTTATCATCTGTTGACGTTACATAGTCAGTAAAACCCACGTCAAACTGTTAGTTTGATAACAACGTCTTAAAAATTGTCAAAGTCTAATTATCCGTTTCGTTGACAATTTAGCAGCTATGAACTTTTCGCGACAATCTACAGTCCTTCAAAGGCAAATTAAGTACTTCGACTGAACAAATCACAAAGTAGCACCACACAGGCTAGAATGTATAGCCAAATTTTTCTTCGTCTTCGCTGTTTTGACTCCTAACAAGCAATTTTTCATGGCTTCTTAAACTATTTCGACGTCTACAGTCGATTGGAACATACAACTTTTGACAAGCTAAGAGATTAATAAGGACGGTATTCATTGTCGTTCCTCAGGCCGTGAGAATGTCTTAAAAACATTAGAATGGGCATGATGCCGAGGAAGTCTTCATGTATCGACTATGAATTCCACCTCTAGTGACCATAGCAATTTTAAAATGATGATCAACCACAACAACCGTATGTCTAGTTAGCCTACCACTTTTAGCAACCTCCCTTCGACCATTGTTTAAATATATCCATAAAATATTATGATCATTATATGATTCTGCCTGACTACGTGAATTACGTGTTAAAATTGCGTTTTTTTCATAATGGAACACTGACGAGTGAATAACCCATAAATATAACAACTTAATCTCGAAAACATGTTTTTATCGACGCCGTGCGTTATTTTGTTTTTCGAGCGCAAACAACCTTTGGACCATTTATTCCCAATTTCATCCTTGGAGAGGTGATTTAGTTATATACAGATGTTGAGAGTCGCTGCAAATTACCGCACACGGAAAAACAATATTACCGGCAGCAAATAATATATTGTTAGTTCGCATTTTTAAACGAAATTAGCCAAATCGAAAATTCTCATTAATATTACACTTGGCGAATTATAAACGCAATTCACCAAACGCCCGATAATTTTGTTGTCGTCTGATAGGAGATAATCTACAACACGCGAAAGCTTGAATCAATAATAACCTAGTTCTACAAAATGAATAAATGTATTATAAAATACAGGTTTTAAGTTCGTGACTTCGATTTAACATGATAGTACTGCTTCCCGAGAGCTGTCTTTTCGTGGCAAACGTCCTTTTCATCGACCAAGGGCAATTTTCAAAGAAAAAGTGAAATCAACTACAGCTGCTGCCACAATCTTTTTCGTGCCCAGAATCTTCGAATGTAACGTACAATAATTTGACGTATACACTTACTTCCTCCGGATGGATACCAATGTACTTCTTGACGTTTCTGCCCTATGAGCCAGCAGCATTTAATATAGTTTACTCGCGAATATTACTGCCTGATACCGTTACGATTGACTTTGCCGTAAATAGTCCAGCAATCAGTCGTATTTCAATTTGACCGATTCATGTAATTAAAAGCCGGTATTGAGATAAATTTATTGTATACATGCGCAACACCACCGCCAGCAAGAATAGTAACAGTAAATACATTGTTGTCATAACGTTGCATCTTGTGTTTGTTGATGCTTTTCTATCATTTAAAATGTTATGTTTTCCCACATGCCACCGTTATAATAGTAAATAATAAAGTACTTAAAATATAGAGTTTGCAATAAAAATTATATTAGCAGCTATATTAATTACTAGAAATCCGGTATGTAATGAATTTCATTACCTTAGTTAATAAAACTACAACATACATATGTCAAGCGAATATTATAGGTATATTTCTCTCACAAATAAGTTTCAAAATTAATAAATACTAATCGCAACGAAAACTTACCTGTATTATACCGGTTGCGGAACACAATTTATTCAAATTTTGTATGAAAAAGTTAACAAAATTCAATAAAAACACTAACTGAATTTCCTTTCGTGAATTACTAGTCCCACTTTCACAAACAACAGGAAAGTGTCACTGATTTTTTCAGAATTACTGAAAGCGACCTGCTCAAACGGCAACAGTGTTTGTTGTGTGTATGTATAGTAATAAACCGCGCATATAACGTAAGGTTCGGTTCATTCAGGAGTCCAAAGTCCAGTTTTCTCCGAAAACGGGTGTTGCCATTGGCGTCGCACGCGTAAATCAATTTTCTCGTTTTACGCTCGCTTGTTGTGTTTATTCAAAGGTCAAGTACAACCTGTGAAACGAGAGTGTCGTCTAACCGAACTGGAATATGTATCGACCGTATTGTTCTGACATGTTCCATTGTTCGCTGCAGGCTTGACATCACTCAATACTCTCATCATGCAAAATACTTTGTTCGTCTATTTATTCATCTTTAAAAGTTCGAGAATCAAAAACTTTCAAAAAGTTTATACGATTACAAGATTTACTACATCCATTAAATGTTACTTTAAGAATTTAATCGGTTGCATTTTAATAGTATATTATGCAACAAGTGCGGTAAACGGCATTTGACTCATGAGTTTATTTGACACGAGCGGAGCGAGTGTTTAATAAACGAGTGAGTTAAAAAGTTTACCGAACGTGTTGCATTATATTTTACTATATATTATTTTCCTACGACCGTTAGTATTTGGGTACATTTTCGCAAAACACGAATACATTCACTGACATGACTGTCAGAATTGACAAACGTCAAAATTCAAAGCGTGGGAAATATCTCCGAAAACATCCCATTGCTTCCAAACCCGTGCGGTAAAATCCCGGAAATGTCCGAAGTGCATCGGATTCGTGGGAGAACAAACTGACGTGGTAAAGTGACGCTTCCCGCACGCTAGATCGGTGGGTAATTAGATATTTTGCAGACGGGAGTAGAATTTTTTTTTTGCGATAAGCTAAGATGATGTTTAAATTTTGGTTTAGGTAAATTTATGTAAGATCTATTACGCCACAAGTTATTAAGTTTCCCACAACATGTCAAGTGTCTGAATGAAGATCATCCAACTCATCCTTCCTGCCCAGATGGAACTCGTGTTCTTCCTGCTTGCGTCTGTGCAAGAAGTGTCGGAATTTGCTGTGGTCGGTGTAATGTTTCGCACCATGTTAATCCGAGTTTCCCCACGTAATCAGAAACCATTTGTGTTCTTTGCGAATTCACTATGGGGCAGTAGTTTTGCTCCCCTACTCTGCCCAGATATGAGAAAGCCGTAATAGATCTTCCAACGTATATCCCAAATAGTATATTATGCAACAAGTGCAGTAAACGGCATTTGACTCACGAGTTCATTTGATACGAGTGGAGCTGGTGTTTAATAAACGAGCGAGTTAAAAAGTTTACCGATCGTGTTGCATACTATACTTTTTCTATGACCGTTAGTTTTTGGGTTCATTTGCGTAAATACAACACGAATACATTCACTGACATGACTGTCAGAATTTACAATCGTCAAAATTCAAAGCGTGTTAAATATCTCCGAAAACATCCGATTGTACCCAAACCCGTGCGGTAAAATTCCGGAAATGTCCGAAGTGGCTCGGATTCGTGGGAAACGAAACTGACGTAGTAAAGTGACGCTTCCCGCACGCTAGATCGGTGCGTAATTAGCTATTTTACAGACGGAAGTAGAAAAAGAAAATTTTGCTTTGCGTATTATCCTCTCTAACGAGCAATTCCAACTTAATGTTTCATATTTTCATCATTCGGACATATCAATAGATTTACACATACAGACAGTATCGTTTGAATTTAAACCATCATTTACCTTGAACTGTCCCTTTCTATTATCTACTATATATGGTTTTATCCATTTATCCATTGGGGACTAGCTGTTGGTGTGCACGGTTCCAGATAAACAATTTCATCATCATTGTAGAGGTAAAAATAAATTTTTCAAGAAGTAAATATGTGAACTAGGACGGTTGTATGTAGGTATTCATTTACGACACAGAATGCTTGCAATTTTAGTCTTTCAATCTGCAGATCAAATGCAAGTTTTATCCATGTTTTACACCCCAAAGTAACAAAAACAATATATTTATTACGATTGTTAACTAGATATATTTATTTTAGAAGACTTAACAACTGAAGTAATTTCGTACATAAATTTCCCTTTATGGATGGATAGGCTAAAAGACAATGTGGAACAAATACGTAACTTACTTGCTATTTTAGTCTTTCAATCTACAAATCAAATGCAAGTTCTTTGCGTGTTTCACACGCCAAAGTAACCAACACAATATGCTTATTATGATTAACTAAATATATTTATTTAAGAAGACTTAACAAGTGACGTCATTTCGTACAGAAATTTCCCTTAATGGATGGATTGACTAAAAGACAATGCGGAACAAATGCGTAACTTTCTTATTAATTATTAAATTGTTTAGTAAGTAACAGTCTCGGCTGGGTAATAGAGATAGTTTTACACTTTTAATAAACGTACCCCAAACGAAATACGTATTTTTATACCAATTTGAAGACATAAGCGATCATCTCGTGTGTCCCTCATGTGTTAAAAGGTTTAATACACGCTCATGTTGACTCAAAACTGTAGCCAGTCAAGAAACCAGCGACAGCGTTAGGTTTTTTAAATTTTATGATAGAAAGTCAATACACTAGTTTAGAACCAATCATCAGTTTTCGACCACTTTAATACTAAGAAACAAGGGTTTCGAAAAATTCGTTAGCAGTGAGGCGTCACAGTAATCTCCTGGATTGCTATTGCAATTGAAAATATTTAATATTTATAATATTATTCAAAGTAATGTTTTTATTTTTGCGACATTAAAGAAAGTTCGTTTAGTCATTTTACGTTCCCGTTAATTAAATTTTCTAGAACCGATTTTAAACAACTTTTTTATTGAAGTTTGATGATGAAATATATATTTTTATCTATTAGCTTACGACCACTTTTTTACGTCCATAATGCAGATACAACTATTGTTACCTAATTTTTTGGTCGACTACTTTCATCTCAACCACAAGCATATCTCATCGGGTTCTCAAACTTGTATTTGTTTCATGTATTTAAATGTAAAAGGCACAGTGCAATTGTAACAAGTTAATGCAAAAAAAAATCAACAAAGGGAACAAAAAATAAACTTGAAACTGAAAATTAAATAATTTTTGTTATTATTGTTAATCTTTAAAACAGTGGCAAATTTATTTCACTAAAAAGAAAAATAGTAACATTTACATGTTTTATAACTGTAGAACACCAATTTTGCATCAATTCGGTAATTATCACATTCTTGAATGTAACGTTAGGAGACTATCTACATAGCAAGATAACTTAAGTAGAACCAGCAAAAAAAATTATTAGACTCATATTAGCCCAATAAATCTATATGATCTGCGCCACTGGCCGACCGAGCAGACTCGTGCAGATAGTTTTAAAATATCCGGAACAACACAGTGATATCCCAAATAGTTTAAGGCATGCCAAACTTCGCTAAAGTTAGATTTCAGTATTAATTATGAGTACAAAGTTTACCTGAACCTATTGTTATTAATAATATTAAATACGGCTATAATAATAAGGAACAAGGCATTCATATAAATATGTCTATAAAGCTTGAAGTCTGAGATCTATTGTTTCAATAATAACAGTTCAAAGTCCACGACGTTTTATGTGCGATAAAACAATGTTTTCAGTTACCATCTATTTTTATAATGGGATTGAAAGTAAATAGGAGCGTTCACTGGCAGTCATTGGCTGCCAACGGACAAGCCCCAGAAGACGACCAATGATGTTTGCATCTACTTTGGAAATATGTATTTTTTGTTATTGAAAAAAAGCGTTTATTTGGGTAGCAAAATATGACGTATTGTAAGCGTAAAATATCAAATTTCTCATTTATAAGAATTAAAATTTGGCTCGTTTTATTTAGCAGAAGGCGCCTTTCCTTTTTATGGGTTCAAGTGCACTCTAACGAAAGCGAGTTGGAGATTAAACAGTTTTCTGTGACAGAAGAGTTGGACAAAAATTTGCAAATTTTTATATTTACCAGGTCTATCAGACGATGGCGCACAGTTGAAACCAGTAAAGTTTGCTTTGTTTAATATGTCGTAACATCCGTAAGATGTCGCTAGCCGTATAAATTCCGAATTTTATGCTTTGTTTATAACAGAAAAACGTTTAATAACAAATAATTGATACTAATATAGGTTTTCTTAGTTCTAATCGTTTTTCCGTGGCAAATACTGCAAAAGGAATAATAAAATTTTCACCTGCATTTCACACTTTATTTATTTCAAAATATATTCTGTATATAATCATGAAATAAAAAGGATAGCAAAATGTGTTTTATTTAGTTTTGGTTAGATATGTTTTGATTAAATCCGTGGAAACAATTAAAAAACAATAGTGATGGCTACCCTAGAAAGTCCGTTACAACACTACTCCAAAGGTCGCGCATAATGCAATTGTTTTGCTTGCTTTTCATTAGATCAGCCAAGTCCTTAAAGATGGAATACCACTTGCAGGACTGACGGACTGACTGGGGAACTGAAAAAATCAATAAGTAACCCGACACAACAGAAAATTCGGGAACATCCTGGCTCGATCACTCTGTAACCACGTGCTCTGTTTGCGAACAGGGCCGGAGTAAAAATATTTCATATCGTGCGTAAGTAAGTAAAGATATGAAATCAGCTCTGCACAAGCAGTTTAAAACCATTTAATCTGTTAATGAGTTTTCCGTGCTTTGTTGAAGATTTATATGGATCCAGGTAATAATATAATTTAAACGCCGGTTACAAAAAAGTAACATTTAGGAAGTATAAAAAACTGAAAATTAAAAAAAAAGATGTCTTGTGGCAAATAAAGATTTTTTTAAAGTAAAAAGGTTGATAACGATAAAAACATTACCTTGAAGAAAATTGACTTTTGACTTTTTTTGTGTTAGTTAAGGGGATTTAAGAGACATGTCGTCCGTATTCTAATGGCAGAATAATGTCTTTTAATTTAATAATGGTTTGCATTTTTTTGTTCATAATTTTGTTGTTTATCTACTAGAAGAACCAAGAGCTATATTAAACACCATCTATTTAAGTTTAAATTTTAAATTGAAAAGTTAAGCAAC